AGCCCGCGCGCGGCCCGTTTAGGCGCGTTTTTAGCCTGTTTTCGGCCCCGCCCGCCACGTCAGCCGCCCGCGCAGCCTGCCGCCGGCCCGCGCGTTGCGTAAGCCGCCCGAGCGCGGCCCGCTTAGGCCCCGCCCGCGCAGCCCACCGCCGCACACAGCCTGCAGCCGCGCGCAGCTCGTCGCCACGCGCAATCAGCAGCCGCGCGCGGCTAGCAGCCGTGCACAGCCAGCAGCCGCGCGCAGCCCGCAGCCGCTCATGCCCTGCCCGTGTGCCTGCCTCCGCGGCCCGCTGCTGCCGAGCCCGCTGCCTTAGACAGCGAGCGGCCTGCTGCTGCCTAGCGCGCCGCCTTAGGACCTTGAGTACGGCAAGCTACTGCCCTGCACCAGCTACACCGCCCCTGGAGCAACCGCCTCTGGCCCCTGAAACAGCCGCCCCTGGTGCAGCCGCCCCTGGACCCTCGAGCAGCCGCCCCTGGACCCTCGAGCAGCCGCCCCTGGACCAAGTGCAGCCGCCCCTGAAGCAGCTGCCCCTGGTGCAGCCGCCCCTGGACCCTCGAGCAGCCGCCCCTGGACCCAGAGCAGCCGCCCCTGGCCCCTGAAGCAGCCGCCCCTTGTGCAGCCGCCCCTGGACCCTCGAGCAGCCGCCCCTGGACCCAGAGCAGCCGCCCCTGGCCCATGAAGCAGCCGCCCCTGGTGCAGCTGCCCCTGGACCCAGAGCAGCCGCCCCTGGCCCCTGAAGTAGTCGCCCCTGGTGCAGCCGCCCCTAGACCCAGAGCAGCCGCCCCTGGCCCCTGGTGCAGCCGCCCCTGGTGCAGCCGCCCCTGAACTCCGTGCAGCCGCCCCTGGACCCCGCGACGCCGCCCCTGGACCCGCGACACCGCCCCTGGTCCCTGTGCAGCCGCCCGCCGAGCGCCGGCCCTGCTCGCCCGGCGAGCGCCTGCCCTTCCCGCCAGGTAAGCACCTGCCTTGTTAGCGCGCTGCCGCGCCATCTGCCTGCCTGCCAGCCTGCCTGTCTGCCTGCCTGCCTCCCTGCCTGCCGCGCGTGCCCTGCCCGCGCTGCTACTGCTGCTCCTTCTGTTAGTACTGCTAGGCTACTGCTACTGCTACTGCTACTACTGGCGGTGGCCAGATGCAGCTCCAGCGACATCCACGCGAGTCTCTCCCGCCCCAGCAGCTTCGTGAGTGGTATGCGAAATGGATTTGTGGCGGTAGCCGTCGTAGCTGTCGCCCTGGAGCTGGTCAGTTGGGAGCATCTGACGACGCTCAGTAAGACCGCCAGTAGGACCAATGTAAGGAGAAGGAGCAGGTAGTGGGGAGGCCGGCTGCAACTGTAACTGTGACGGGACAGGCTGTGAACACGCTAAGGGAGGAGGACCAGGAGGAGGCGAGAGACCAAGAACCTGCTGAAGGAGCGGAACGAAGTACGGCTAAGGGCGCGCGGCGACTCCAGACACAGCAGGGACAGCACCTGTACCCCCAGCGGCAGTACCAGAACCAGCAGCAGCTCCAACGCCCAGGTCCTCAGTACTAGCCTCAGCACCAACGCCCGAGTCCTCAGCACCAGCAGTGGCTCCAACACCAGGGTCCACAGCACCTGCCGCAGCTGGAGGTGTTGTCCCTGAGGTTGCTGCTACTGGAGGTACTGGGTCTGGAGGTGCTGCTGTTGGAGACACTGAGGCTGGAGTCCCTGGGTTTGGAGGTGCCGGTGCTGACGGTGCTGCTGCTGGTGGAGCTGGTCCTGGAGGAGCTGGCGCTGAGGGTTCTGGAGCTGCTGGAGGTGCTGGAGCTGCTGGGGGTACTGGAGCTGCTGGTGCTGGTGGCACTGCACAGGCGCGCCTGTTCTTTGCTCCTCCGTCTCCGTCGTCTCAGCCACCGCCTGACTCAGTGCTTCGCCAGGTTCTTAGTCTCCCTTCGTCTACTAGTCTTCCGTTACAGCCTGGCTCACCACTGCCTGCTCCTTCTCCTTACACTGAGCGGACAGGCAGTCTTATTGAGCGTCGTGAGCAAGCGTTGCATCCTGTCTTGCCTGTCCGTCCTGGTCATTCCAGTCGTTGTGTTCCTCGTTCGCGTCTGCCGACTGTCTCCGGCACCCACCTCGTCGTCCGTCATCCTTCCTCTCCTCCGCAGCGTGTTCCCCTGCCGTCCCCTCCTGCGTCTTCTCTGCCTACCGTTCCTGAGCCTGAGTCTGACCGCACCCGTGCTGCTCACTCTACTGTCACGCGTCTGCTAGCCACAGTTGTCACTGACCCGTCGTTTGAGTCTGTTGCTGCCTCTGCCTTCGTCGCTGAGCTTGTTGACTTTGCTGCTGCCTGTCGTCTAGACTACGCCGCTAGTCTTGTTGCTGAGTCTGAGTCTGTCTGTCCTCCATCCGTCAGGGGTGAGTGTGCTCTTGGCACGGACGTCCTTGAGGACAGGCAGGAGGACCTCGATTGTCTTGCAGCCGCTGCACCTCATCTCGTGTCCATGCTGCTTGCCCCTGAGGGAGACCCGGATGCTCCATACATCCCGACCCCGCGCTCTTACGCTGAGGCGATCGCGGGTGAGTACTCCTCTCAGTGGCAGACAGCCATGGACGCAGAGATGGCATCCTGGAAGTCCAGAGGCACCTATGTTGACGAGGTTCCCCCTCCTGGGGCGAACATCGTCAGTGGCATGTGGATTTTCAGGGTGAAGCGGCTGCCAGGTTCTCCGCCTGTCTTCAAGGCTCGTTACGTTGCACGAGAGGGAGTAGACTTCTTTCAGACCTTCTCCCCCACCCCGAAGATGACCACTCTTCAGGTACTGCTGCACGTTGCCGCTCAGCGTGACTACGAGCTTCATTCTCTTCACTTCAGCACAGCTTTCTTGCAGGGCAGTTTGCACGAGGAGATCTGGCTGCGCCGCCCTTCTGGCTTCACTGGGTCGTTCCCTCCTGGTACCCAGTGGAGCCTCCGGCGGCCGGTCTACGGTCTCCGCCAGGCGCCACGTGAATGGCACGACACACTGAGGACTACACTTTCTGCTCTTGGGTTTGCTCCGTTGACTGCTGACCCGTCGCTGTTTCTGCGCACCGACAATTCGCTGCCGCTGTTCTACATCCTCGTGTACGTCGACGACTTGGTCTTTGCCACTGCTGACACTAAGGCTCTCGCTCTGGTGAAGTCGGAGCTGCAGAAGAGACACACGTGCACAGACCTGGGTGAGCTGCGCAGTTACCTTGGCTTGTAGATCACCCGGGACAGAGCACGCCGCACCATCACACTGACTCAGTCACACATGGTGCAGCAGGTCCTTCAGCGCTTCGGCTTCACCTGGTCCTCGGCACAGGCCACTCCTCTGGCTACAGGTCACTCGCTCTCAGCTCCACCTTCGGACGAGTCCGTAGAGCCGAGTGGTCCTTACCCAGAGCTAGTGGGGTGCCTCATGTACCTGATGACCTGCACTCGTCCTGACCTTGCGTACCCTCTTGGCCTTATGGCTCGCTACGTGGCTCCTGGTCGGCACTTAAAGGTGCACATGGATGCCGCTAAGAGGGTACTACGCTACTTGTGCAGTACATCGGGCATGGGGCTCGTGCTTGGAGGGCGGAGCGCAGTTGTCCTCACTGGGCACTCAGACGCTTCTTGGGTTGACGACCAGGCTACGCAGCGGTCGTCACAGGGTTACACCTTCAGCCTTGGCTCTGGCTCTGTTTCTTGGCGTTCTACACGCTCGTCTTCACTTCTCAGCTCCAGTTGTGAGGCTGAGATCTACGCCACAGCCATGGCTGCACAGGAGTTACGCTGGCTCACCTACTTGCTGACCGACCTGGGAGAGCGGCCTCGTTCTCCTCCAGTTCAGTACGTCGACAACAAGGCCGCCATTGCCTTGTGTGAGGAGCACAGACTGGAGCACAGAACGAAGCACATCGCTCTGCGTTACTTCCTAGCTCGAGAGTTGCAGCAGCGGGGTCAGCTTCGTCTTGCTCACGTGGCCACTTGGGCCAACACTGCTGATATATTCACCAAGGCGCTTCCGTCTGGTGATCATCAGCGCTTTTGTACTTTGTTGGGTCTTGTGCCTACGTTTCCACACTTGCTGTAGACTCTGCTTGTACTGTGATCTATATATGTATACCTGCATGCTTGCTCTTGCTAGGTAGTGATCACTGTGCTATTGCTGCATATACATCTCTGCATGTGAACTGGCCTTGTGGCCTCTTGCTTGTGCTCAGTGTGTGTGGTGACTTTGTGATCCACCCTGAGCTGTGTTTTGTTTCTTCTCTTGACTGGTGTTGTGACTTTGCTTGCTCTGGCTATCCCCCATTTCGCCTATGGGGGTGTGTCAAGTTATATTTATATGTTATGTTTAGGTTGTCTAGGCTATATGGGGGTTAGCACTAGGGGGTACAATATTCCTCTCGACATTCTTCTTGTACCCCCCCTTGACATTCGTCATGCCTAAGATTATGAGAAAAACATATATAATGTTTGCACCCTTACTAGAAAGAGTAGTTTTTGTGTGCATCCTTACAGAAAAGGTGAAAGCGGAGTGTTGGCCTTACGTGAAAGAAAAGCTCAAAACCTAACCAGAGGCCTATGCAGGAGCCGACTCTACCGAGTACAAAGTCGAGGAGTCAGAAGAGTCGAAGCGACGCAGCAATCGTCTGACCAAGACCGATGCAGGCAGGAACATTTGAAGTGAAAAGAGCGGGAACAGGTTCGGAACGGGTTCCTGCACCGGACGGTTTGAATTCGCTGCAAAGGGAATGTACCCCTTAGAGTACATGGCTAGTCTAGGTCTTTTCGTATTCCCTTGTATTCTTATGTAAATCCGATGTATGCATGCTGGTATCATCAATCTCAGTCATTTACATTTATAAAATGAGGGGATACAGATGAGATACGTACCAAACCTGTACCCTCTAGGGATTAACCCCACTTACCAAAACTAGCTGACAGCACTCGGGCAAAAAGAGGCCAAAAAGTGTATACCGGTACCGTACATTAAAAACATTGCAATTTTCTGATAAAATCCGCACACTACAAGTGCAGTTTTGTGGAAGGGAATCGCGGGCCTGAAATGGCATGTCTACAGCTAGCACCCGCTGCATCAAACTGACCAATCAGGTCCAACTCCATACCCCCACTCTCCGACCCTGTGACCTTCACACCCTCACCTCCTCCATCCACCCCAAACCCTGACCTGGTGCTCTGAGAAACAGACTCAAATTTCAGGTTATCGCTTCCCCTGTGAACATACGAGACAGGAGGAGCACTTTCCAAGGCCAGGTGAGGAGTCCACTGGGCGGGGTCAGTTCTACCTTCACCAGAAGCACCTTCGCTGCCCCCACCAGTAGCACCTTCTCTGCCCCCTGCCATACTGGCCAGTGCCGTTGCAGTTGCAGGCTGACCGGTTGTCATGGGTAGCAAGGCAGCAGGGTTAGCAGTGGCACCTGCTGGTGAGCTCCCATGAACGCAAGAAGCAGCAGGCACAACAGAGGGCACAACAGAGGCCACGGCCTGGTATGCCTCATAGTCCGCCGGATTGACACTCAGATTCACTAGTTCGCCTCGAGGTGGGTTGGTCTGTGGGGGAGGAGCAACTGGGGTAGGTGGAGGCAGGGCAGGTGATGAGGTGAGTGCGGAACCCAGTGGGGAAGCTGCTGCTGGGGAGTTGAGGCCGAGTAAAGCCGCTCGGATGTTGGGAAACATTGTTGCAGAGAGCAGGTCAGGACCTGGAAGGAAAGGCATTATCTGCTTCTGCTTCTGCTGCTGCTGCTGCTCTTGATGTTGCTGTTGCTGCTGCTGCTGCTGGTGCTGCTGTTTCTCCTGCTGGGCCTGTTGCTGGCGGTACCATTGCAGGTATTGCGCCTGAAACTGCTCTAACTGCTGCTGCTGCTGCTGCTGTGCTTGCTGTTGCAGTTGTTGTTGCTGTGCTTGCTGTTGCAGTTGTTGCTGCTGCGCTTGCTGCCTCAGGCGTTGCTGCAATTTCTCCTGCACCTGCTGCTGCAAATGCTGCTGAAGCATTTGTCCCTGCACTTGTTGCTGCAACTGCTGCTGCTGCAGTTGTAGCTGCAAATGATGCTGCAGCTCTTGCTGCTGCTGCACATGCTGCTGCTGCAGTTGTAGCTGCAAATGATGCTGCAGCTCTTGCTGCTGCTGCACATGCTGCTGCTGCTGCTGCTGCTGCTGCTGCTGCTGCTGCTGCTGCTGCTGCTGCTGCTGCTGCTGCTGCTGCTGCTGCTGCTGCTGCTGCTGCTGCTGCTGCTGCTGCTGCTGCTGCTGCTGCTGCTGCTGCTGCTGCTGCTGCTGCTGCTGCTGCTGCTGCTGCTGCAGCACCTGCTGCGCCTGCTCTTGCATCTGCCTAACCAGCTGGCTCTGAACAGCACCACTACTCAACACTCCAGCTGTCGCCACATCATTCCCTGCAAGGTAAGACAGAAGCATGCTACACCTCTCACTGCTCCTCAGCGAAGCAGATTCAGGCCCTTCAGCAGCAGCAGCTGCTGCACCACCAGCAGCAGCACCAGTGGCAGCTGTAGCATTAGCAGCAAGGTTCAGATTTATCCGATCACTTAAGGGAAACCCTCCTGCTCCTCCTCCTGCTCCTCCTCCTGCTCCTCCTCCTGCTCCTCCTCCTGCTCCCCCTCCTGCTCCCCCTCCAGCTCCTACTGCTACAACTGCGCCTCCTCCAAGTCCTCCTTGCTGCACAGACGCACTTGACAATGACAATCCGCCTGAAGCCTTACCGAGCATCATCATTGCAGCTGCCTGTGTGGCTGCGGCTGCATGCATTGATCCAAGAGGCACACCACCAGCACCACCAGGGCCACCAGGGCCACCAGCACCAGCGCTAGGGCTAGTACCAGTACCACCAGCACCAACCCCACCAGCGGCAGCGGCCGCAGCTGCCGCCGCCGCAGCTGCTGCAATCGCTGAAATCGCGGCCGACGGAAAGGCAGCATCAGCCGCAACGCTCAGCCGCAACGCTCCAAATTCCTCCTCACTCACACGCTGCCCGCTCATCACGTTCGTCCCAGACTCTCCACAGCCCTCCCGCCCGCCCTGACTCGCTCTGCTCGCTGCTCCGTCCGCCCTCCCTCGGGCCACCAGCATCCCGCCTTGGTCCACTCTGCTTGCTGCAGGGTGTTTTTGAGAATTCTCAAAAGCGCCTTGACTCACTCTGCTCGCTGCTCCCATCAGCAGAGCCGCCGCGTCAGCAGACCGCCGGGGAGCACCCGGGCTGCTTGTGAGTCGGCTCAGAAACGGATCCGATCTGAGCCCGCCGGATTCTGTCCGTAGCGGCAAGTCTGCTGCCCGGGGAACACACGGGCTGCTCTGGAGTCGGCTCAAGAATCGGTCAGATCTGAGTGGCGCCGCCGCTGCTGCTGCTGCTGCTGCTGCTGCTGCTGCTGCTCCCACAGGCAATGGCTGAGGCGAGTCCTCACCCCGGAGAGTACGAGGGCTCCAGCTGTTGCTGCTCGTGCTAGCGTCGAGAAACAGGTACGGTCGCTTGCCTCCAGAAGCAGCAGCAGCAGCAGCAGCAGCAGCAGCAGCATGGCGGGGAGCAACAACATTACCAGCAGCAGTGGCGACAGCAACAGCGCCATCGGCAAAAGCAGCGGCAGCGGCGGCGTCAGCGTAGCACATATCCATCGTCGTTTTAGATCTCTTGCGCGCGATTACAGGCTGACCCGGCCGGGAGGACCGACAGCTGCCGCCGCCGCCACCACCGCCGCTATTGCCGCCACTGCCGCCGCCACCATTGCCGCCGCAGCCACTGCCGCCGCCACTGCCGCTGCCAGAGGCGGCACTGGTGGAGGATGCTGCAGCGCTGCTGTCCCGCGCCACTGGCAGCATGGCGGCTGCTGTCCCAGCAGCAGCAGCAGCAGCAGCAGCAGCAGCAGCAGCAGCAGCAGCAGCAGCAGCAGCAGCAGCAGCAGCAGCAGCAGCAGCAGCAGCAGCAGCAGCAGCAGCAGCACCAGAGGCAGCAGCAGCAGCAGCACCAGAGGCAGCACCAGTGGCCGCACCAGTGGCGGCACACGCACCAAGATGAGTGAAAGTATTGAAACTGCCAAGACCAAGGGCAAACGCGGGTACAGAAGAATCCTTTGCGTCTGTCTCCCCCAGCTGCTGCACCGAGGGCCTCTGGAAGTTCCCAAAGAGCGGTGATTGCAAGCGCTGCAGTAGACCTTCCGGCACCACCGGCGGTTTCTGAAGTGCTTCAAACGGAGACTTCAGAAGACCCTCAAACGGCAGTGCGGATTTCTGTAGAGGCGTTTTGAATGGCGATGGCGCCATGACCGTTTGCTGCTGCTGCTGCTGCTGCTGCTGCTGCTGCTGCTGCTGCTGCTGCTGCTGCTGCTGCTGCTGCTGACTGCCCAATGCCTTCAGGAAGTTGAAATTAAATACCCCAGGATCTTCTTTCCGCTGCTCCATCATCCGGCACTCACCATTGCCACCGCCTACCAGCAGCAGAGGCGGCATTTGACCTGGAATCACGGGATTCCCGCTGGGAAGAGTACAATTAGTAGTACTGGTGGTGGGATTAGTAGCATTGCTCCCAAATGGTGAAGGAAACGCGCCGTCACTAAGCATCTTTCTGTCCACAAAAGTAGTGCCGGCGCTCTCAGTTCGGCCCTGCGGCGGCGCCACAGACTGCGGCCGCGGCGGCTGCTGCTTGGGCGGCTGCAGCTGCGGGCGGGGCGGAGACGCTGCTGCCGCCGCCGTTCCCGCTGCTGCAGGGAGCTGGATCTGCTGCGGCGGCGGGTGGTTGTGCTTCTCCCGGCACCACACGCGCCGCGGCATGAGCGTGCGGCCGCGCCGCTCGAGAACCGGAAGCGCGTCGAGTAACTCCTGGTGCTCCCTCCAGTCCGTCCCGCTGCCGCCGCAACCTTCCCCGGCGCCATCTTCGTCACCCGCTGCCGCCGCCGCCGCCGCCGCCGCCGCAGCCGGCGAGCCTACTAACGGTGGCGAGTTGGATCCTAGGGCGGCGCCGCCGCCGCCATCGCCGTCACCGTTGCCGTCGCCGGCCCGGACGATGATGGGTACGTTTTTGGAGGATGCCGCTTCTTTCGGGACCTTGTCGATTATGAGCTTCGCGGGACAGCCGGTAATGTCGCGCTCCGCGCAGTGGTAGTAGAACCTGCAGTTAGTTAGTAAGAGCAAATGGAGGAGAGCAGGAGCGGTGGAGGCGGGTTTAATGATGGGCCGTGAAGTCTCACGAGCTTTGAACCCAGGTCGGCGGTACGTCCGGCGCCGGGAGTGGGTCCGGCGGCCATGTCGTGACGTGTGGCAGTAGATCAGTGGGGACAAAACCAGAAAGGAGGAAAAAATTCCGCCAAAATGACTTCACAACGTTCCGCGCGTTTGTTAGCAAAAAGTTGGCGACTCAGGCCGCGGACAGACGCTTGATGATGGAGGAACAGGAACGACGCGAGGCACCAGAGTAGCGAGGGAAATGTCGCGGAAGCCGCAGCGGGTTGTCTTGACATGGTGTTATTCCAAATAATTATCTCTGCAACCTGTGAGATTGACTGGCATCCTAAAGGCGATCCTGGAGTTGGTGAAACCTCGACTTTCCACAATAATAAGTTTATCACCTTTTGGCGTTCTGCGAGACGAGAAATTTCTGTCCGTATTTTTTCCACTGATACGCGGCTTTCTCCTCCGTGCCGGCATTTCCGCCGGCCTCGGCGCTTCCAAGCATCACTAGCTCCGATTCGGAGGGTCGCTGGCGGGTTGCCTAGTAAACAAACAGCTTGAACCTTCTCTGTTGACTCGTGTTACGGAATTTTCACGCTCGCACGCGGAGATTCGTTGAGGTAGTCAGATTGCAGGCCGCGACGAAATACGTATTTCGCGGATCAGCTTATCAGAGAAAATGAAGCTGTGGTTCCGTCTTTCAAGTTCAACAAAAGCCAGCAACATTTTCAACGGATTTTGCTGCAGAAGGAGCTCCTATGCCAGTGGGGTGATTCTGCTCTATGGGAGAGAGGAGGATGAGGGAAAGGGACGGAGAGATGGATTGGACGAGGGAGGGGTGAACGTTCTGTTGTGATGTGTGGGAGGGAGGAGGGGGCGGGGTGGATGAGGCTTGATGAGGTGGGTTTGCAAGGGTATTGGTTCTTGGGGGGGGAGACCAGACGAAACAAGCCGACGAGAGGATAGGGGGGACCTGGTCGGACAGACAGGCTGACTCAGACCCGGCCAGTGCAGGCATTCCGGTGGGTTCGCTGTTGATGGTGCACTGTTCACAGTGGGACATGATTTGGCGCCGTGCCTCAGCCTCGATGAGTTTTGGAGTTTTGTGAAAAGAAGGAATGCCTCGTCATGAGTATTGAACGTTGCGCGCGCATCCAGGCTCTTTCTGAGCAGAGGAGGGGGCTTGCTCAGATCGGAAAAAGGCAGATGCAGCGATGTACACCGCTCTGTACGTGTAGAATCAGTTGGGATGGGATCTCGTCTTAAAGGACCAGCTCGCATTCTACGCTCTGCTGAGGGATGCCCGAAAACGAGCCATGTGGATATGGATTCTCGCTGCTGCTGGGGTGCTTCAGTGTTTTTTTTTTTTTTTTTGATATCATATACATTACAGGAATGTACAGACATCGGCAGTCGTAACTGGCATGGGGAGGGGAGCGCCACAATAGCAGATATTGCAGTTCCCCTCTAACGCGACTACGGCGGTTGGTGAGTCATGCTGGGGTTATCCCAGATTGAACTGAAGCTGATCCTCCACGACAGCGGTGCACCGCTGCTGCAGATACGTCGCATCACCGTCGCCTCATCGGCCGCCAGGTGTGCCCAGTCATCCCCCAAAACCTGCTTGTCCTTCCGTGCTCCCACCTCGCGCGCCAAGCAGTACGTTCTCGCATGCGCGACAAAGTTGATCACTACCAGCCGAGCCACCCTCCCAGCATGGAATGCCTCATTTCTCCACGCCGCGTTGCACCTTGCCAACCATATTTGCTGCAGACCTGTTGCAATCCACGCCCCTTCCGGAAAACCCGACTTCGTGCTTCTTTGCATGAAGATCAGGTCTTCGAGATCTTGCCACGCTATCCCCGGGTTCATTGCCACCAGCCCTCTCCTCAGCAGGTCCACCACCGGCTGCACTGTAGGACATCCCAGGAGGCAGTGGTCTGGGGTTTCCTCGCCACGACAGTGCGGGCAGACCACGCCCATGAAGAAAAGTCTCGAGCCCACTTGCAGGTTTCTACAGTGGAGCCTTAGAAGGACCTCGCGTGCCCGCCGTGGAGTGGCGAGAGAATCCCTTTGTGTGATGACTCTGTCCCATTCAATTGCCCTCCTCTGCCCTTCCCATCTCCTTTGGTTCTCCTGTCTGCCAGAAGAGCTTGACAGTAATTTCCGTAACCCTTTTGTTGAGATCAGCTCTCCGCCCTCACATGCCTCTGATAGCAGCAGTCTCGTATGCGCGTCACCCATGGCCCCCAGAAATACACAACCCTCCGTGAACATCGGTACGCCGCTGCGTAGACCGAAATCCAACGTAAGGCACCTCTCGTAAGGTGCGAACCTTCTGCCATCGGGGTGCTTCAGTGTGATAAGCAGCGTGTCGTAAACTTAACTAAACAATGCACTGATGCAAAATGCAGTTCTTTCCATCCGTGATAGGGCATTCTTGTACAAATCATGGATTTCATAAGTGTGCCTTCCAGTTCTCAGAAATTTCAGATGACTCTGTCGGACACTGTGCGCTGTACGTACATTTCGCTATTCTGGGAGTGTACTACACTACCAAAAGGATGTGATGGCCTGCAGCATTCTGCCCTCTATCAGGATCGCCCCATAGCTAGGATCGGAGTGAGTGGTGTCCTTGTTGGATAGCTAGGCCCCCTTGGCAATACGGCAAGTAATTTTGTGGTGTGCCCACCAGGCATTCACAGCCATAAGAATGATTATATCGAAAACACACCATGGTTTCATAAAATATTCAACATTTATGCTGACCACCTAATGCTGGGAAATTCGCCAGTGCAACGATCAACAGAAGGGACAACTGGTACACAGATCGGCACCCTAAGCCGAAAGATGATGGCGCGGTCGAATGCCGTTAGTTATCGACAGTGGAAAGGATGGCAAGCCTATCCAAAGCGGTAGCTTTCACGCGCTTGTGTACTGTATCATGCCGATGGCCATATGGGCGTCCTACACCTAGTCCGCGGTATTTTAACCGCCGCTATCTTAACCACACGAGGGTACTTCTCCTTGGTAAACGTTTTTATAAGAGTAGTCTTGAAATTTAATGAGGGTACAATCTAGCATACCCTTTGTGAGACGATGGCAGTCAAAACCCGGTCAATGCCGATCCGCCCTCTATTTCGGAGCACTAAGTGTGAGTTTCTTTATAGGGAATTGATTTTGGCTGCAAAACAATAGCCTTGAAGTCTCTGGGTGCCCATCCTATTACCAGAAAACGAACAAAGGGTGTTTGAAGCGAAACAGTTCACGTGGTTAAAATACCGCGGACTAGGTGTAGAATCTGCGCTGTATCAAGGATGCCATGTACAACCCATGTCAACATCAAGGACGAAGGCTGCTGCACTAGTTTTCTTTGGCTCATATGTCTCTTAGAAAAAACTTCATCGGTAGAAACATTTACGATAAGAAGCCCAAATCTGACTGTGGGTCGTGGATGCTTTGAGGAATTTCAGGTGTCTGTGTACTGGTAGAAAAACCTAGAAAGGTTTTCCTTGCTGATGACCGACGGATCTTTGTCCACCGCACTCAACTCTTCGAGGACGTTCTCGTCGCTAGCAACGTCATGCACAGACGCAATTACGCGGTAACGCTAAACAAATCCAATCCAATCTTCACACACAGTTAAGAATTGCAGGCACAGCAGTGCAGTGCAGTGCATACACACACAAACCTCCAAGGAGGAAACCAGTTTCCGTTCCGTATGTACTTGTACATACCCATTCGATGAGGGGTGGCCCCGAGGCGTTCTGTGTGTATGTGTACACCAAACAGCAGCTCTGTGGGAACGAGAAAGCGGGTTCAGGGTACAAGAAATTATGGACTACGTGGTGAAAGACGGTTCTTTTCCACCACTGCGCACAGCAGCGGAACAAATCACGACGCAAAATAACGGTGAAAAGAGGGGCAAACTAGCAGACTCGCAGAGTCATCCCCTCCCCTACCCTGTGTGTCGTGAATAGAAAGTACGTGTTACACTCATTTCAGCAGAAGACCAAAATCTGAGCCCGCGACCACTGAATCGGAGTGATCGTGGTTGTCAGCGATATCTACAGTAACAGCTCCATTCTTCCATAGGTGGACAAAATAAATTCGCGATGAATGCTCCCGACCCGAAGGACGCTCTCCTTCCAGAAACCACTGGAAGGGGTCGTGTCACAAGTTGCACCAGCAGCGTGTCTGTTTATCGCGTCGAAGTGTGAAAGCTAAGGGTTTAGGGCGTGTCCAGCGCGTATACTTTGGGTTTTTCACATTGATTTAACGTATTTGGGATCACGAGCAGAAATAGTACCGCCAGGTGTGGCCTTTTAGTTTCGCGTTCAAAAAGGTGCAGGAAGACAAGATTCGCCCCTCAGCACAAATCTAACACCAAGTTGGGCGACAGTGGCGACAACACTACTTTGTAACTAAGGTTTGGCGAGCTCTCACAGATTCTTGCGAAAATCGTCCTTGACTTCGTTGAGCCGGTATCGTAGCAACTCGGACACGTGCAAGTTTGATTTTGGGGTTTGTTACGTGCTTTTCGCGTCATATTAACGATTTGGCGCACGTGTGGCCTGTGACTGGTTGTACGTATCGTAGAAGTTCGTGTCCAATAATATTGTAAAAACATGGTTACAACTCGAAAAAAGTGGTAGCTGTAGCGCCAGATGAGTTGTAAATGTACGCGCTTGACACGCCCTTGGCGTTTCTTCTGCGTGTGTCAAAACCTCGAGTTATGTCATGGAAGGGCATGGCTCGAGTGCACGATTGCATTTGTTATTATGGATTAAGTTTGATACAAAGTCATGGTAATTAAGATAAGGGGTATTAGAGTACGGTAGAGATGGTGGAACAAAGAAAGGGTGATAAGGAGAGAAGAGCTTGAGAAGAAGAGAAGGGTCGAAGGAAAGGTGGAAAGAGGAAAAGAAGAGAGGAAGAAACTAAAAGGAGGAAACACCTAAGGACCAAAACACCACAGCAACCCGCACCACAGCGTGGGACACAGCTTTTCAAGCACAAACGCTAAACGCCTACACATATGCATCGTACATATACTGCATATCTGCCACGCTCTCAAAGCAGCCGGTAATGTGATGCCAACTGCCCTGTCCTGCACCCATAGGGACTGGTGCGGGCATCCACCCATCGTCTGACCCTCCCAACTGCCGCACCGCGTGCTGTATAATACTCTGAGCCTGTGCTCGCTGCAGTGCCACGGAAAGTCGTGTAGTGAGTCCGGTCTCGAAAATCCGTGCTGACCCGTCATCCCCCCCCCCCCCCCCCCCCCCCCTCCCCTAAGGTCTTTACGCCGCTGTGCAATCCGCCGCGCACAAAGCCCTAGAAACTGCCTCATTGGCTCGCTGAGCAACCCAAACGTCTCCACTACACAAGCATAAAAGTGTGGCGGCGGTTGTAATCCCTCTAGATGCGGTGCCCAATCCCGCAACTTGTCCTGCACTCGTCTGGCTGCTGCAACACCTATCTGCACTGGGGCCACTCGTCTAAGCCCGGTATTCCCCTGTTGCTGTGGATCTGCAATGGGGACGTCTACCAACACCATCAAAGTTTTTTCTATATCGCGGCAAGTCAGATCTGGAATGCGGGCTGGTGCCCCTATGCGGCCTGTGCGTCTAGCCTGCCTTTGCTGTTGTACTGGCTGCTGCTGTGCCTGGTCCCTCTGTGCCTCCTCCTTTGTCGTCTCTGCCTCTCTATCCTCTCCCCCACCCACCTGCCTCCTCCCATCCCCTCTCCCCAACCCCAAACCCCCCAGCACCCTCGCCCTATCCCCCCCTTCCATACCCTTCCCTCCTAACCCCTGCGCTCCTGCAGTCATGTTCCCCGCCACCTCCTCTCTCCCTCTCTCCCCGAACCAGCTCGCACCCAAGGGCTGGGTCGCCCCCTGGACCCGGAGCCCGACCTGCCCTTGCTGGCCATCCCGCTGCTGCCCCTGTTGTCCCCTCTCCTCTTCCCCACTCACCAGCCTCTCCTGCCCCTGCTGAACCTCCTGTTGCTGGCTGTGCTGTCCTCTCTCCTCTCCCCCACTAACCTGCCCCTCCTGCCATTGCTGGCCATGTTGTTGCTGTTGCTGCTGCTGCTGCTGCTGCCGCTGCTGTCCCCTCTCCTCTCCCCTAGTAGCCTGGCCCCGTTGACCCTCCTGCTGTCGCCCCTGTTGACCTTCTTGCTGCTGCCCCTCTTGCTGCTGCTCTTGCTGTCCTCTCTCCTCTCCCATACTGGCCTGCCCCTCCTACCCCTGCTGGCCCTCCTATTGTCGTCGCTGCTGTTGCTGTATTCTCTCCTCCTCCCAGCCAGGCTGCCCCTGCTGACCCTCACGCCGCTCCCCATGCTGACCCTCCTGCTGCCGCCCCTGTTGACCCTGCTGACCTTCCTGGTGCTGCCGCTTTTGCCCTCTCTCCTCTCCCCTACAAACCTGCTGCCGCTGCCCCTGCTGCTGCTGCTGCCGCTGCTGCGACTGCTGCTGCTGCTGTCCACTCTCCTCTCCCCCACTAGCCAGCCCCTCCTGCCCTTGTTGGCCCCGCTGCTGCTGTCCATGCTGTCCCCTCTCCTCACCCCTACGGGTCTGCCCCTCTTGCCCCTGCTGGCCTAGCTGCTGCTGCCGCTGCTGCTGCTGTCCCCCCTCCTCTCCCCCACTAGCCAGCCCATCCTGCCCCTCTCGGCCCTCCTGCCCACCAGCCCCTCGACCGAGCCCACCCTGCTGCTGTTGCTGTCCCCACGGTGCCCCTGACTGTCCCGGTACCCCGTCCCCCGTCCCCGAGAGTCCCTGCAGTCGCGCTCTAGCTGCATCCAGATGCAGAATCAAAGTGGTGTCCTCCACCTTCACCGCGAAACTTACCTCAGAAGCAAATTCCCGAAGCATGTATTTCACGGTGTCGTGGATGACCGTGGCGACGCCGAAGCGGGAGCACCGCACCTCGTGGTGAGGTACCGTCAGGTCGTCGATCGCCTGCCCACAAGAACACCGACCTGCGAGGGCTAGTTGGGGGATAGGGAGGCCGAGATGGAAAGCTGAGGCCACCTGCCACTGCGCCTCTGGGATGCGCAGCGAGTCTGCGTACGGCACCGCCGTCAACCACGCGCCTGCACCTGCGCCCTGAAGGGATGTCAAACTGGCAAGGTGCAAGGGGTTAGTGTGATGGGCCCGGACTGACTCCAAGGCCCGCGCCTCCAAGACGCGACTCACTCATGTGAAAAGAGAATCAGGGGAAGCAGAGACACAAGAGTGCCAGGGGGGGAAGAGAGAGAGGATGTCATGTGGGAGGCCCTCCAGCGCCGTCTGCAGTGATCGATCGATCTGGTCAACATCATCTGATGCAAAGCTCTGTCGGAAGCTCGCGCCGCACACTGGGAGGGAGCAAAGGATCGGCGCGCACTGTACCCAAGAGCACGCATAGCTCACCGGGGCGATACGCTCCATGCGTCGGATGCCAAAACCCCCTAGACATATGGGGAGGTAGATCTTGTCCAGGGCAGCCTCACGAACGTCCTCTCTGCAAGTCCAAGTCCCAGGCACCAGAAGCTGCTGAAAGGTCTCCCCCAACCGCTCATCCCACCGTGCAAAACTGGCACGTACAGCCGGGGTCGGAGGGACCGTCCTCGCCAGATACTGCGGTCGCGTGCTGACGCATGCCGAAAGTAGACGGGCCGCTGTCTGGGGCTGGCGCAGTCTCGGAAGCCACGGCAACACGCGCCCCATCCTCTCCAGACGCTCAGGTAGGCTCCTCTCCACAAAAGCGTCAGAGCCCACCGGCACTCCCGTGACGGTGAGTCCTCTGCGAGCGACCTCGATCTCCAGACTCGTGAATGCCTCCACCTCCCTGGAAGTCACAAAATCCCTGCCGTAGACGAGACACTTGTGTGGCTGGACCGCAAGGCCCAGCTCGCGCAAGTGCCTCACAATATCTGCGAAGTGGTGTAGCACCCTGGAAGGAGGGCCCAGCACGTAAGTGTCATGTGCGTATGACTATAGCTGGACATCGCCCTCAGCTAGAACTGGCTGTAGAGCCATGCGCTGTGTGAGTGCATACAGGAACGGGCTGAGCGGGTTGCCCTGACGGGTCCCGCGCTCCGAGTGAATGGTGGTCACCCCTCCATTCGCCCGGTAAAGGAGATCGGAGGGTGCCCTATAGAAAAGGCGAATGAAAGGGATAAGACAGCGGAACTAAGCACTAGTATAGAGGGCCTGGAACATGGCGTCTCGATGAAACGAGTTAAAGGCGTTCGCCACGTCCAGCTGAAGAACCACCCATTCAGGGTGGTCATTCAGGGCGCGACGAATGCCTCTAACCACGACCTCTGTCCCACATGTAACGCCCACCCCAAACTGCTGTGACGCGAGAAAAACTCTAGCCATCTGGTCCCGCAGCTGCAAGCATACTGCGCGAGAAAGGATGTGAATCAGAACCTCACCTATCGCGATAGGACGCACATCCAGGTTCGGTTTCGCGAGAGCGACCAGGGTGGACTATGCCAATAGCGACCGAGCTGCCGGGGCGTAGTAGCCTCGCAGCCAAAGCTGGTACACGGCGAGCAGGCTAGGGAGGCTCTCAGGAAAGGCAAGGAAAGTATCTCGAAGATGCTCGGCAACCCAGCCTGTCGGTCCTCCGGACGACCCGCGTGGGGCTGTGAAGATGGCTTGGCGGAGGTGATCTATAGAGAGCACAAGGGCAGTATCCTAGAAGGTCGGTAGCCAATCTGGAGTCGGTCGCTCTGCGATGGGATGCTTGCTCCGCAGACGTTGCATCGTACTCTCCGTGTCAGGTGCCGCCTCTGCCGACTCCGGGGCCGCGCAGGCCCGCGAGGTCTCATTGCAAGCCGCCAGACGCAGGCAGCGGGCAATGCGACGGTCATCTAGTGTGGGGGAGAAAGTGGTGGTGCGAGCGTGCCATGCTGATTGTAGAGGAAGGGGAGTACGTCGATGTAGGGCCTCAGAGATGAGCTCGTCCCACTCACCTCGTCCAAAACGGATGATGCGCGCTGCAATGGCGGCCGTGTTTGAACGCTCTGGCGGTGTCGTCGGAGCCAGTAGGAGCGTCGGTGCCGCCGCCAAGAGGAGAGTAGGGCCTGGTGCCTCTGGATCCTGGGAGACTCGTGCTAAGATGGCGAAGAGGATGTCTAGATACCCACCAAGGACCCTCGGGGGGATACGTCGAAGAGGATGGGCATGAATGCGCTCCGGGGCAAAGTACTCCGACCACTGGACGGAGTCAAGCGAATGCCACTGTGCATCTGTGAACTGCATCCCCTGGGCTCGGGGCTCTGCTAGGGAAGGTAGAGCTGAGGCCCTGTCGCGGAGGGCCTGCGCCCTGCGAGCTGCGTCGGCAGGGTGGCAGAATGGCATGCGGTGTCGGAGTGCTCGGCGTTTCGCGAGGGAGCTCAGGCATGTGGGGCACCTCACGACCTCGTCTGGTGACGTCGCTGTGTCGGTGGGGTCGGCCGTGGCCGTGCCCTCGGAACTATCTACCGTGGTGATAGGTGGGGCTGGTGATGGGGATGGGTGGGGTGAGGCAGGTAGGAGTGGTGCACCTACATCTGCGTCAGAGGCGCACGGTCTGAAGATCAGATCGGTCTCCATCGGAGAAGGGTGGAAGGGTTCCTGTAGGATGGGGGCCGCAAGAGGGAGGTCCATGAGGGGGGCTTCGTGGGCGTGTACCACTGGGGCCGGGGGAGTGGGAGTAGGGAGGGGTATGCCAGTGTTCCGTATCGCCAGCAAGTCAGATACAGCCGCCCTCAAGCCCGATGAGGGCTTCGACGCCTCCAGGTCTGTGAGGGAGGGAGGGTGACCTGGTCCAGTGAGAGAAAAGTGAAGCACCGCCGGCCCATGTGGCTGGGTTGCATGTGGTTGTCGCATCGGCCTTAACTCACCCTCCAGCCCTCTCAGCTGAGCTGTCGGGAGCAGGGTGGGGCTGCACGCAGTGGTGGGAAGGGGGGTATGAGAGATAAGTGCAGCCTCATCCTCACCCGTCATTCTGTCAACCCCAACTCCAACTACCTCCATTTTAGTGGGGAGGGCGTCATCCTGAGCGGCAACCAGATGTTGGTGGGGAAGGATTGCGCCGGTGAAACCTCCACCGTGTGCCTGCAAAGGCGAGGGTTCATCTGGGGGGGGATTGCTGGGTGATGAGCCCATGTGAGGATCGCCTGGAGCAGGTTGGGCAGAGGGGGCGGGAAGTAGAGCTGCAGGTGAAACGTAGGTGGGGGTGTGGAACTTAAGCCCTCCCCGCCTCTGGCTCTCCCCTTCCGTCGTCGACCTGCGTTGGCTTGGAGAGTTGCGGTCTGGTTGTTGTGGGGGGGGGGTTAGAGTGGGGCCTGGAAGGAGGGGAAGGGGGGGAATGTTGGCGTGGCGTGATGGCTCAACATGAGACCTCCATCCACCCGTGGGACCTCCCGAGGTGGCGGGAGCCGGTGGCGTGGTAGATACCAAACGGTGCTGGTTGTGGGATGGTCAGTGGGCCTGTGTGGGTGCAAGCGGGGGTCGATGGGCTGGGAGAGGGCGGTGGTGACCATGGGGTGCCTGGGGCTGCGAGGGTGGTGATGATGATAATGATGGGGGATGGTAGGGGAGGGGCAAGTTCATAGCAGTGGGATGAGGTGCCAGTATCCGGCGCTGTGGAATTGTGTAGCGTACGGGGCGGAGGGGAGTCGGTACGGGGGTTGATGCGACTGACCCAAGCGCCTCGGACATGTGCACATCTGCTGGTGAGGGCGGACCTGGTGGAAGTGGAGGTAGTAATGGCTGGGAGTTGATAATCGGGGAGCAGGGCTCCTCTAGGAAAGCCCGGGCCTTGGCTGCCCCACTTAATTCGCGAGAATGCCTGTGAGGGTGGGGGCAAAGGGTGGGTGCTCCTGGGGGGGGTGGATGGGTATGTGGATGCGGGGTGTGGATGGGTGTAGTCTCCGGATTCCCTGTCCTTGCTGTTTCCTCCTGCCCCTCTATTAAAGCTCCTGACTGCATGGGAGTGGGCCTAAGGGGGGCAGGGAGGACCTCGTCATGGGGCTGTGGTGGGACTGCAGCGTCCCCATCGCTGCCAGCCTCTCTTGCGGCCCGCGCCACTCCGTCTGCGGTCTCTGCCGCTCCTGCAGCAGACTCCTCTGCCCCAGCTGTGGCCTCTACCGCCCCTGCTGGCCGTGCTAAAGCCCTGTCCCTAACTTCAGTCGCAACCTCGTCTGGTGCAGCGGTCGCCGCCCCATCTGCCACCTCTGCGACCACTGCTG